CTGGTGATTCAGATCAGTTCCTCTCCAGCTGAGGGAAGTTTTTGTACGACGTTGTATCACTGTATGAATGGGAAGCTGTGACCACCCTGGTGACAGTAATAAACTCTTCAGCCTGGACTTCAGACTCCAGCCCAGTTCCAGACTGACTCCCACTGAACAGATGGAAGAAGGTAAATGCTGCTTGTTTCAGTGTTTCTCCATCACAGCAGAACATCATTGTGGTGAACCTGGTTGCATCCTGAAGCAAAGTTTTCAGAAGAGAGTCTGACCCTGAACAAGGAGCCCCAGGGTGGCCAGCAGTAGAATCAGTGACATCATCATTGTGCTGCCGGCGTGTCAGTGGCTCTGAAAGGCCTGGACAGCCACTGATCAACACTGGCCTCTTAACGGCTGGGAGCACAGTGTGTGTGTGTGTGTGTGTGTGTGTGTGTGTCCTCAGTGAATTGTATCAGTCTCTGCAGTAGCTTCCAGCTGCAGCAGTCACTTCAGTTTCTGTTCAGTTTGACTGAGGGAGGTTTTTGTACGACGCTTTTTCACTGTGTGAACACATCCTGACTGTTGATCCAATGATAACTCTGACAGTAGTAAACTGCTGCATCTTCAGTCTGGACTCCACTGATGGTCAGAGTGAAGTCAGAGTTTGATCCACTGCCTGTAAAACGACCTGGAATCCCTGATGCTCGAGTGCTAGCACGATGAATGAGGAGTTTAGGAGTTTCTCCATCTCTCTGTTGGTACCAGGCTAAACGGTCAGAGCTATATACATCCTGACTGGTCCTACATTTGATGGAGACGGAGCCTCCCAGAGCAGAGCTCACTGCTCCAGGCTGAGTCACTGTGACCTGGCCTCTGGACTCTGAGGATACAGAGACAAAAACATAAAGCAGCGTCATGGTTTTGTGGGCTTCATTTCAGAGGGACGGATGTTCATAGAGGAGAGGAGTTTGATTCTCTGGACTTTACCTGTGAAGCAGCAGCAGAGGAGAGTCCAGATGAGGACGCAGATCAAAGTCATGTTTTTGATGAGGAGGATTTCTGTGGCTTCTGTTGTCATAAAGGACAGCTGTCAGTCATCCAGTGTTCAACTCTCAGGACTATAAACTCTCCCAGAGCACTGGAGCATGGTGCTGCTGATGCAAAGTGGCTCTCTATGGAAATGCTCTGACTGACTCCAGCAGGGACTTGGATTACTCTGATTTTTATCAATGGGTCAATCACTTTATCAGAGTATTGATAATATTTTTAAAAAACCTCTTTTATATGATTTTGCTTTTATTTTGTTTAAAATATAATAATAAGTTATTTCAGTTAATTGAAAATGTAAATTTTATTTAAAATGAACTAGTGCTGGGCAACGATAACATTTTTTAATTACAATTAATCGCATGATTTTCTTGAAAATTAAATGATGAATTCTAAAGTGGTGTATTGCTTGACTTAAATTTACTGCTACATACACAAAATGCATTAACATGTGGTTTGCAAAGAGCTTTTTACCAGCAGTATTCCCTTTACACAGCAGCAATAAAATATTTTTTTTAAATCTCAACTTAAACATTAATGTAATCAAATAAATATTAAACCACAGCTATTTACCACTGCCAGGGAATTACCTTTTATCTAGCTTGTTAAAACAAGTTACCATCAGAGTCCAGTTTTCTTGGGATTGGGAACATAGAAACAGTCTATGTTCAGTAGAAAGTGTCCCTGTTACAGTGAGGTGAAGTGGTCGAGCACAAGGTGTACTGGGGTTCCCGTGAAACTGTTGTGGTCGTGGTCGCCTCACGCACACGCCCGCCTGCTGCCAAAGTTGAGTTGTCTTGAACTTTTTGTACGCGACGCGCAGCACAAATCATTGGAAGAGAGACTGATCCTCGCTGTTTGTGAGTTTCCAGAATCTAAATAGTTATCAGGACGTCAACAGGAGGGAATTCACATGGCAGAGCATCCCTGCAAAACTAAATGCAGGGATGTTAATTAATGAATGCTTTAATGCGATAATAATGCGTTAACGCAGCCCTAAAATTAACATATCAAATTAAAACAATTTTCATTTTATTTATATTTTCACATGTCAGCTGATAAAATGTTACAAACAGAAACTATTTTTGGTGAGTTTGTTTGTGTCAAGTCAGAGAGCCGTGTCTCTCTACAGTGAGAGGTTTTTGTACGGCGGCTCAATGAGTTTGTATCACTGTGGTGGACTTTTGGTGGAGGAACCAGACTGGATGTTGGAAGTAAGTCAAACCTTTAACAAAACTTTTATTTCAATAGCTATTTTTCTACGTATATAATCAGAAGGCCAGAAAACTGTTTGACTTTCCATATTAATGTATAAAGTTTATTAAAATTATTTGCACTAAGAAACAAAGTTCACTTTAGTAATAGAAATTTACCAACTCATTATATAAATAGTAAATATACAATATTAAGCCACAGAGGAAATCATTATTTCCAACCTTAATGGTAAAGTTGCATCTTGAGGGCTTGTAGCTTTAGTTCAGTCTGACAAAGTCAGAGAGCCGTGTCTCTCTACAGTGAGAGGTTTTTGTACGGCGGCTCAATGAGTTTGTATCACTGTGGTGGACTTTTGGTGGAGGAACCAGACTGGATGTTGGAAGTAAGTTTCTGCTCAAATACTAAATACAATATTATCAAGTCCTGCTTTAAATTCAACTTTTCAATGTTTAAGGCAGATAAATATATCTTGTTTTAATTATGAAACTTTTATTGTTCATGTTTTTATTTCTCTTCCTTTACCATGGAGGCTAACTCAGAGCAGCTTAACTAAACTGTTCTTCACACAGTCCTGTCAAAATGAAATGTAATCAACTTGGAAGTGGAGAAAATATAAAACTTTAATCTTAACGTAAAAATGTTGAGTTTAGTTTAAAATGTTCACCACAATAATGGCTGTTGTTATGATTAAATACAATTCACTTTCATGTTAAACTGAAGTAAAGATAAATATGAGTGTTTTAAAAATGTTGCCTATTGTTATGAATTTGAAAAAAGAATACAATATTTCCATATTAATAGTGAAAGGACAACTGGCACTACTTTCAACACAGTGGTCAGTGTATCTGTCAGTAAGTGAAGTGATACAGCTGAGCAGTGATACCTGTGTGACTGAATTTGCACTTGAAAAGTAACGACGTTTAAACTGTATCTAGTGGTTCAACTCATCATTATAGCTGTTAATGTAAGTGAAGAAACACTTTGAAATCCAGATGAAGAACATCTGATTGTTGTCAGATCATTTCTGTTTTGGTTTCCACTGAATAAATTATTGTACAGTCAAGTTTTTTGATGATCTTGATAAGAAAGTTTGTTATTTTATTTCCACTGTAGTTTAATATATTTCAGGTCGTTCTGTATGATGATTCTCTCTGTGCTGATTTGCATGAGAGGCTTCTTAAAGGGAAGTGAAACAATGTGAGTGAGTGACTGGTGGAGCAGAAAAAACATCTGACAGAAACTCCTTAAAGGAGAAAATCAGCTCTCACACTGTAAAGGTGTCCTCTAAGCTGATTGGTGTCTCCTAGGTGATGTCCGTCCCACCCTGACGGTGCTGCCCCCCTCCAGTGAGGAGCTGCAGCAGGGGAAGGCCACGCTCATGTGCCTGGCCAACAAGGGCTTCCCCTCAGACTGGAGTCTGGCCTGGAAGGTGGACGGCAGCAGCAGCAGCAGCAGCTGGGAGGAGAGCAGGAGCCCCGGGGTGCTGGAGAAGGACGGCCGCTACAGCTGGAGCAGCACCCTGAGGCTCCCTGCAGACCAGTGGAGGAAGGTGGGCTCTGTGACCTGTGAGGCCACCCAGGGCTCCCAGGCTCTGGTCTCAGAGACACTGAGGAGAGACCAGTGTTCCCAGTCCTGACCTGACTCACTGGGACTCTGCTACTGGTTTTACTCTGCTCTCTGAACTCTGTAACTCTCTCTGTGTCTGTGTCTCTTTCTTTCCTTAAGTCACTCTCTAATCACATGTTTCATAGTTAAAGTTTGTGTACTGGATTTAATTTGGATTATTTCAACACAATAAAGACCAGTTCATTCAAATCTGTTGTTTTCTGTTATAGTGACTGTACTCTGTTACTCTGTCATCAGATCATATTAACAATATTCAACTTTAAGTAGTGAAGCTTCATTGATGTAATAATGCTCATGCTGTTAACACTGTAAGAAAATAAAAAAAGTTATTTCAAATTAAATAATATTAGTAGTATAGTTTTATTTTTTACCAACAAAGAAGCATTTTCCTTCATTTTATCAGTGCAGGATTATATCTGAGGTAATTTCTTCTTCTCCTTGAGTCTCACCTTACAGAGTCTCTGTTTAGCAGAGACACGGGTTGGCCGTTAATCGGAAGGTCCGCGGTTCGATCCCTGGCTCTGGTTGCGTGTCGAAGTGTCCTTCTGTCCTACTGAACCCCGATTTGCCCCTGGCGGCTGTTCCGCCAGTGTATGAATGTGTGTGAATGCTAGTTTCCGTTTGAGCACTTAGGCTCAGTGTATGAATGTGTATGACTGGTGAATGCAGATGTAGTGTAAAAGCACTTTGAGTGGTCGAAAAGACTAGAAAGGCGCTATACAAGTATGGAGCATTTACATTTTATGTCAGTGTTGCATATACCACACAGTGACACATTGGTCTATTCTGATGAAGCATGCAGGGTGAGTATCAAATTTCAAATTTCCATCACATACTCCTCCCTTGTGAGCATTCTTTGATCACTCAAGAATATACAGCATTACAAAAAGATCATCAGGTCATAGAAAGGCATCATGATGTAATCTACACCAGTTTAACCAAGAAAACGAATCTGGGTCCTTCCTTTCATCACAGTTCTGCTGCTGCAACAATGGCATGTTCACTTGTTCATGGAGTGTGATCATTTGAATAGACACACATTTATCAATAGCTCTTACAGTCAAACCTCTGGCACATGGAATAATGCAACATCCACAGAGAGGTAACAGCGCTACAGCAATCATTAGGCCTGCTAGTATGGGCATCACTAAGGCTTTTTATTTAGCAAATACAGAATCAGACCAGTCAAACATATTAGTGTCCACTTCAGAGTTCTCTGCAAGTTCTTCTCGTAGCGAACGCATTCCTTCCAGCACTGGGGTCACCGAACCATCTGGAGCTGTATTGTTGGGCACAAACGTACAAGAGGAGTTATTAAAATTATCCAAGCATCCCAGCCTCTTTGGGTGCTTCTCTTGCCTCTAACACTGCTATGTGATGTCAATGCCTGTGTGTAGTTCACTGTGGTGTTCTGTTGTGGTGGCTTTTGTGCATCATGCTTGTGATCTAAGAACTGCAACAGAGGACTGTTAATGCTATTGCAATGGCAGCAAACATCTCTGTTGTTCCTCGTAGGCCCACATGTCTGGGTGTCTGACTGGGTCCCATGGATGTCTCCTTCCAGAGACAAACATGCTACTCACTCTTAAATCAGCAGTGGTGAGACCAGGAGTTTTCCCACTAGCTCCCTTGTGTTGATGTTTGCTGTCTAACAGCCTTTGAGTCTGAGACAAAGGGTGCCTAAGCGTTCCCAATCCCTCCTTCACTCACAACACAAGGTCAGGGAAAACAGTGGTTCAGTTGCTGATTGTGCACGCTTGTTGATCTGTTACTGTTCTGGTGCAGGCACCTTCCTGCAGTGGCTGGTATGTATCCATGTAGCTCTTTCAGCCTCCACAACCACCACAAAACCTCCTGGCGGGAGACTGCATCGGCTTTGTTGCTGGAGAGGGAAAAACTTCTATCCATTTTGGAAACATATCAACTATCATCAACAGTACTTTTTTGCCTTTGCTTGGGTTTAGCTAAAAACCTCCCTCATAAGGTAATAATAATAATAATAAATTTTATTTATAATGCACTTTACATTTCAGGGAAATCTCAAAGTGCTACAGCAACAAGGGGTTAAAAACAGTTCCAGAAAATAACAATCGCAATAAAACACCGTAACAAAAGATTTAAAACCATGACTGTTAAAAGGCCTTTTGAAATAGAAAAGTCTTTAAGCCCTTCTTAAAAACCTCCAGAGTTTGTGGGGCCCTTAGGGGCTCTGGGAGGGCATTCCAGAGCCGTGGGGCGACTGCCTGGAAGGCCCTGTCTCCCATGGTGGAGAGTTTAGTCCTTGGTTGGTGCAGGCAGTGGGTAGAGGTGGAGGAGCGGAGGTTTCTTAAGGTGGTGAGTGGGGTGAGGAGTTCACTGAGGTAGGCAGGGGTAGTTCCATGTATGCACTGGTGGGTAAGAAGACAGATTTTATATTGAATTCTGTATTGAATGGGCAGCCAGTGGAGGGATTTCAGGACTGGAGTGATATGGTCATATTTGCGCCTCCTCGTCAGGACCCAGGCAGCGCAGTTCTGAATATGCTGGAGCTTTTGCAGTCTCCTGCCATGGATCCCGACGAGGAGGGCATTACAGTAGTCCAACCTGGAGGAGATAAAGGCATGGATCAACTTCTCAGCATCTAGTTGTGAGAGGGAGGGGCGGAGTTTGGCGATGTTTTTGAGGTGGAGGAAGGAGACCTTACAGAGGTGACGGATGTGAGTGTCGAATGTGAGATTTGAGTCAAGTCTGACTCCAAGGTTTGTAACAGAGGTAGACAGGGGAATGTGATGACCAAAAATGGATATACTGCTGAGGGAGGAGGACTGGGTTTGATGTGGGGTACCGATCAGGATGGCTTCGGTTTTGCTGCTATTTAGTTGAAGAAAGTTGTCAGCCATCCATGCCCTTATCTCCTCCTGGCAAACCTGAAGTGCAGATGGCAGAGCTGAGGGGAGTGTGGAGTCCATTTTTATGTATAGTTGTTTATCATCTGCGTAACAATGGAATGAAACTTTGTGTTTATGGATGATGTGACCGAGGGGTAGTAAGTAGATGGTAAAAAGGGTTGGACCAAGGACGGACCCTTGTGGCACTCCACAGCTGACTGTGTGGGGTGATGATTGGGACTGTCCTAGAGCCACATACTCCGTCCTGGCTGTGAGATAAGACTGGAACCAGCCTAGTGTGGTCCCAGAAAGTCCTACCATAGACTGGAGACGGTGAAGCAGGATGTTGTGATCCACAGTGTCAAAGGCGGCCGACAGGTCCAGTAGGAGGAGGTGGTTAAACGGTTCATCTGGTGGTGGATGTGCTGCTAATGAAACCTGTAATCCCCTCCCTGTGTTGTGTCTTAGGCAGATTGAGCATGTTTGACAAAAGTTGTGAGGGTGTGTTGTGAAACCTTTCATGAACCAGTGTCTTGCTTCACCACAATATTTCATTAGTGATACAGTTACAGTTTTACAACACCAGCACTCTGTAGTTTTCTAGTAAGGCTACAACTAAAAAGGAAGAAGAAGAATTGGTTAGTGTTAGATATTAGCCTCTGGCCGCTGCTCCTGTTTAGGAGAGGGAAAACTTTCAACAATGACAACAAGACAGTAATTCTTTCACATCTTAGCATCACATTTTATCATCAACACAGCAGCAGCACACAAAGAAACATCCAGCATAACATAAAGCAACAGACACAGAAAGCAACATGACAATAAGCACCGGGCATCTGGTTTGCTTCCAAGATGTAGTGTCAAAACAGGTCATGTGATCGTCCTTTGGTCAGTAAAGTAAAAACGTAGGTCATGTGTTTGTAGTACCTGAGTACAGGCAGACTATAGACAGCCATTTCGGTCAGCTCAGCTTCGTCAGTTCAAGTTAGTCAAGTGCACTGTTAGTTTACCATGAATCATGAGAGAGAGATTTATCTCTCTGTTCATCCATTTTTAGTAATAGGATCTCTTGTCCATAAAATCATCATCACCTTCTTTATGGTGATTGGTTTTGGAATAGATGAAAAGGCTTGAATGCATTGGAAGAGAGAGCTTTACTCTCATTGTGATCGCATTCCCAGATAAGTTATTCTGTCTATTCGAATTGCAATTAGAGACAGACAGACTAACCTTGTGTGAGGCCATTGTGGGCGAACCGCTTTAGCAACACAATGGTCATCTCAGCATGCTGTGTGTGATGGACTGCAGAACGGAAACCGACCAGCCGCGTGGGAAATATAACATTTTATAACAACAGACCTTTGCCAAATCACCAACAGAGAAATGTGTAGTCTTTGATGTAAAGCTGTGAAACCTGCAGTGCTCACTGGTGCACTAATGCATTTACCACCACTCTGTTGCTCTGTTGGTTGGCCTTCATCACAATCTTTTTGAAAATGTGGGTGCGTACAGGTCACTCCAGCCTGTAGCAGTGAACAAAAAGAAAACATGTTTAATATTTCCAAGCGCTTCTTTTTTTAGTAAATGTTATTTCACACATAAATCAAATCAAACTTTGTGTTAACTACAGCTATAGACTCTCATTCAATTTGCACCTCAGACATGAGGTCACTACAGTGGCCTGTAGGTTTCAGGCCTAATACAAAAGCCACAACATGAATACAAACACCACAACACAAATACAATTAAAGCTGCAAGCAGCGTTGGGCGGGCCCTCGCACGTGTAGCGTGTTGGTGTGTGAGGCGGCCGTGTTGCATATTCTGGATCTCTGCTGCGCAGCTGTGAATTTGCTACGCGCTTCCGACGCTGCATGAAGGTGTTTTACGTCACTTCCTGTGTCCCCTTTGTGGCACTACATCGCACTTGGCGCTATGAATATAAATTAATATTGGCGTGTGGGTGTCTTCGGGGTGGAACAGTTATCAAGCACGTAAAGTTTTGTTCAGATGTGAGCATGTACACTGAAGTTACAACAACTTCCTGTGTCATGGCGAAGAGTTGATCTTTGACGCCACACCACGGACACGCCCATCGACGAAAACTCACAGATAGCACAACTTAACCTAACCTAACAGCTCAGGCTTGTCTCTTCCTCGATTTGTGCATCAGAAAGTACAACTACCATCCAGCATTTTGGCAATGCAAAAGTAAAAAACTCATAGTAACAGTGGATCACTTGCTTCCTGGCAGTGGAAAATAACGTCTTTTTTGTCCTCCAAGGGAGCGTTTTTCATGGAATGTGATGTCACGTCAAAACTATGAATAGGGGGTGCTGCAGCACCTCCGCACCCCTTTGTATAAGTATAAAGTCATCTCCATGGTAACCTGAGACTCCTTGCTTTTTGTTTATGATGCTAATCTGCACAGACAGCTGTTTAATTCACACAAATATCCCGCTGTATATTATTTGACCAGAACAGAAGTATTACTTATTTATCAAACGGGTAAGAAGTTCTTCTTCCACGTAGGCCTACATTTACTAATTTGGCATTATGCGGGAAAAAGTCACAGGAAGAAGAAAGTTCTTTCTGAAATTTGAACCCAGACCTCTTGAATGTGGAACAGCTACATTGCCGCTGTACTACTGTGTAGCTGTGTTCTGTGGACAGTAATCCACTGTTACTAAGCGTCTCTTTCGTTGTCAACTTGTTGTATGTGGCGGTTGTATTCGTGTTGTGCTGGGTTTAAATTTACTAACAGCTACTTTGGCAGTTTCCTAAACTCTTTGTGGTTATCATTCATCACCAATGTAGGCTGTTCAAGCTCATCAGCATTTACTAATAAATTAATATAGTATTACTTTGTTTTTTTACCTTCAATTTGCTTAGGTTTTTCTTTTTCTGTGAGAAATTGTGACTCACCCAGTGTGTGTGTGTCCCAGTTGTTTCCTGTCACTAGTGTCCGTCCCGCCCCTCCAGCTCAGTCCATTTGGATCTGTTTTGTATCTGTCCAGACAATCTCTGTGTACCAATGTCCATTTTTGTCCACCAGTCTCACCTACTGTCCGTTTTCTCGTACCGTGGTTAATACAGAGTTCTTCAGCCCCTTTTGATGGCTATTTTCTCACTTTGTCCTCTTTGTATAAATCTTCAGCTTGCATGCCCTATCAAATTTCAAAATATATATCAAAAAAATATCAAATTTCCATCACACCTATTTCATCAGTGTTTTATTTGCATGAAGACAATTTACTCAGTCCTGTCAATTCATCTACCAAAGTTTAAACAAAAAATATTTTAGCTTTATGATGAGAAACTCATTAGCAAAAAAACAACAACACAGAATATATCAAATTAACAAAATATGAAAGTGATTTCACATTTTACAAATCCACATGGAGGTGCATTGAATTTAAATAAAATACTCACCTAAAACAAAGGAAAACTTACAAAATGACATTTCTTATTATTGTAACCTCTCAGTGTGTTTCAGTAAAATGTAACTTTACAACTTTTAACTGCATGAGTTTCATTCTAATTAAAGTACATTTACATACATTACATTACAGTATGGTTATGTTTTGAAATATCTAGTGTTATGGTTTCTGTGCAGCTGGTGATTCAGATCAGTTCCTCTCCAGCTGAGGGAAGTTTTTGTACGACGTTGTATCACTGTATGAATGGGAAGCTGTGACCACCCTGGTAATAAACTCTTCAGCCTGGACTTCAGACTCCAGACTGACTCCCACTGAACAGATGGAAGAAGGTAAATGCTGCTTGTTTCAGTGTTTCTCCATCACAGCAGAACATCATTGTGGTGAACCTGGTTGCATCCTGAAGCAAAGTTTTCAGAAGAGAGTCTGACCCTGAACAAGGAGCCCCAGGGTGGCCAGCAGTAGAATCAGTGACATCATCATTGTGCTGCCGGCGTGTCAGTGGCTCTGAAAGGCCTGGACAGCCACTGATCAACACTGGCCTCTTAACGGCTGGGAGCAGAGAGGCAGGACACATATGCAAACACACAGAGTCAGTGAGCTGTAGCTGTCCTCAACATATCATGGTGTTTCCCCCTCAGTGCTGAGAGCGTTGATCTACATATTTACATATTTACATGTAGACGATACTGAAAACTTCCCCTACATGTAATATGGTAATATGGTGTTTTAGACCATGATTAGTGACATTAATATCAATGTGGTTTGACATCTTTAGGTGTCTGTAATATGGAAAGTTCTTTAAGTAAAGTAGTGTTGGGTGTTTGAGGGGATGCTGATGCTGACGATCTCAGAGAGCTTCCTCGAGAAACTCCAACCAGAAAACATGGAAGTCATCATCAGCTACATTACTGTTTTAATGACATGATCTTCCTCAGCAGATGGAGTTCACCCAGCTGTCATGGAATATTTTAACTTTGAAGCCGTTCACTAACAGGACGCACCAAGTTAGAGGTGGTTTATGTGATCATGTTTACGAGGAGGGGTCAAGAGGGAAGGGATGAAAGGGGTCGAGGGAAGGTGGATGGGAGAGGGTCGTATAGTGCTACTGAGAACCGAGACCGGGGTCGAGACTCAGGGTGGGGACTCGTCTCTGTAGAGGCTCGCTTGTGGAGCAGCTAATGGGAGAGAGAGTTTGGGCGATCTTATGTATGTGGTGGTGATTGGATTAGCAGGTGTGTGTGATGGGACACTGATGTGGTTTAATCAGTGAAGGGGAAGAGGGAGGCGTGGTCCTGTTCCTGGACCTCAGTTTACATAACGCCATGAGTGGACATCCATCCATCATCAACCTTATCCTGCGTACAGGGTCGCGGGGGCTGGAGCCAATCCCAGCTGACATCGGGCGAAAGGCAGGGTACAACCTGGACAGGCGCCAGTCCATCGCAGGGCCAAAGTGGACATGAAGTCCTAAAGATGCAGGAATTTAAAAATCTACATTTCCATCAAAATGACTCCATCTGCTAAGAAAGATCATGTGATGTGATTGAAAGCTCCACAACAGTTAGTGGATGGATGTTGTGGGGAGTTTTTTTTTTTTTTGCGTTTTGCGAGGGCGTTTATATATTTAAAACACTTTTTTGTGCTTTCAGGGATGTATTGATTTTGTTTGGACAGTCTCTGATCCTGAATGTTTTTGATGACGATCTGTGTCTTCATATTTTCAATTAAATGTACATAGTTGAAATTGCTAATCCAGTATGAGTTTGAGGTCAAAGACTTTTCTTATCTGCTTTCCCAGGCTGGCTACTCTGGATTATTTGGCAAATCAGAAAAGAGAGTGGGATTATAAAAAGACATGAATAGATGGTGAGAAGCTGTGATGGACAAAGTAATTTGATTTCATATTTTTTTGTAATATTATTTTGCTACATATTCATTGGTAGTTAAAGCAAAAGTTGTGAAATCTTGAACCTCATAGATGACATGTGTGTGTTTGTGTGTGTGTGTGTGTGTGTCCTCAGTGAAGTGTATCAGTCTCTGCAGTAGCTTCCAGCTGCAGCAGTCAGTTCAGTTTCTGTTCAGTCTGACTGAGGGAGGTTTTTGTACGACGCTTTTCCACTGTGTGAACAACCACTGACTGTTGATATAGTGATTACTCAGACAGTAGTAAACTGCTGCATCTTCAGTCTGGACTCCACTGATGGTCAGAGTGAAGTCAGAGTTTGATCCACTGCCTGTAAAACGATCTGGAATCCCTGATTCTCGACTGCTAGCATAGTAAATGAGGACTTTAGGAGTTTCTCCATCTCTCTGTTGGTACCAGGCTAAAAGGTGGTTGTTGCTCCAAACATGAACATCCTGACTGGACCTACATCTGATGGAGACGGAGCCTCCCAGAGCAGAGCTCACTGCTCCAGGCTGAGTCACTGTGACCTGGCCTCTGGACTCTGAGGATACAGAGACAAAAACATAAAGCAGCGTCATGGTTTTGTGGGCTTCATTTCAGAGGGACGGATGTTCATAGAGGAGAGGAGTTTGATTCTCTGGACTTTACCTGTGAAGCAGCAGCAGAGGAGAGTCCAGATGAGGACGCAGATCAAAGTCATGTTTTTGATGAGGAGGATTTCTGTGGCTTCTGTTGTCATGAAGGACAGCTGTCAGTCATCCAGTGTTCAACTCTCAGGACTATAAAGTCTCCCAGAGCACTGGAGCATGGTGCTGCTGATGCAAAGTGGCTCTCTATGGAAATGCTCTGACTGACTCCAGCAGGGACTTGGATTACTCTGATGATGCTGTTTATCAATGGATCAATCAATTTACCTGAGTATTGATAAGACATTTTTTAAAAAACTCTTGTTTAAAATATGTTATGAGTTATTTCAGTTAATTGCTAGAGAAAAAAAATGTACCAGCAGTATTCCCTTTACACAGCAGCAATAAAATATTTCTTGTAAATCTCAACTTAAACATTAATGTAATCAAATCAAATATTAAACCACAGCTATTTACCACTGCCAGGGAATTACCTTTTATCTAGCTTGTTAAAACAAGTTACCATCAGAGTCCAGTTTTCTTGGGATTGGGAACATAGAAACAGTCTATGTTCAGTAGAAAGTGTCCCTGTTACAGTGAGGTGAAGTGGTCGAGCACAAGGTGTACTGGGGTTCCCGTGAAACTGTCGTGGTTGTGCTCGCCTCACGCACACGCCCGCCTGCTGCCAAAGTTGAGTTGTCTTGAACTTTTTGTACGAGACGCGCAGCACAATCATTGAAGAGAGACTGATCCTCGCTGTTTGTGAGTTTCCAGAATCTAAATAGTTATCAGGACATCAACAGGAGGGAATTCACATGGCAGAGCATCCCCGCAAAACTAAATGCAGGCCTATCAGGTAAAGTTAGTCTGTGTACAATTTTAATTTATGTTAAAGGCTGCGGCTGTGTAGCGCACAGAAGCCGTTGCCATGGTTACTATCCATAGAGCGCCGGCCGTTCACTCGCAGAGAGCTGTCTCCCTGTCTGTTCACCTGAGAACCTGCCGAAGCCTCTCCGCTGCTTGTTTGGGTTATTTTGCAGGCTGATCAACATCCCACCTCTCCTGTGACCCATGGTTTGATTGTAGTCCTATGTGTATTCAGAGCCAGTGAGCAACGGACTTTCAAAATAATAATTTAAAAAACTGTCGCCGTTAATTAATGAATGCTTTAACGTGATAATATGTTAAGGCAGCCCTAAAATTAACATATCAAATTAAAACAGTCTTATTTTCACATGTCAGCTGATAAAATGTTACAAACAGAAACTATTTTTGTTGAGTTTGTTTGTGTCAAAGTCAGAGAGCCGTGTCTCTCTACAGTGAGAGGTTTTTGTACGGCGGCTCAATGAGTTTGTATCACTGTGGTTGACTTTTGGTGGAGGAACCAGACTGGATGTTGGAAGTAAGTTTCTTCTCAAATACTAAATGCAATATTATCAAGTCCTGCTTTAAATTCAACTTTTCAATGTTTAAGGCAGATAAATATATCTTATCTTTTAATTATAAAACTTTTATTGTTCATGTTTTTATTTCTCTTCCTTTACCATGGAGGCTAACTCAGAGCAGCTTAACTAAACTGTTCCTCACACAGTCCTGTCAAAATCAAATATAATCAACTTGGAAGTGAAGAAAATATAAAACTTTAATCTTAATGTAAAAATGCTTAGATTAGTTCATTTTAAAATGCTGTCTACAATAATGGCTGTTGTTGTGATTAAATACAATTCACTTTCATGTAAAACTGAAGTAAAGATAAATATGAGTGTTTTAAAAATGTTGCTTATTGTTATGAATTTGGAAAAAGAATACAGTATTTCCATATTAATAGTGAAAGGACAACTGGCACTACTTTCAACACAGTGGTCAGTGTATCTGTCAGTAAGTGAAGTGATACCGCTGAGCAGTGATACCTGTGTGACTGAATTTGCACTTGAAAAGTAACGACGTTTAAACTGTATCTAGTGGTTCAACTCATCATTATAGCT